TGGACTCTATTCTGAGACCGAGGGGACGGTAAGATCATTTAACTAAAAGACACCGTTGTTTTAGCCTAGTCTAACTCATTCTGTATGCCACACATTTAAAATATTGTGTTCAAACTGGTTTCAGCTGATTCTGCTACTGGGTGGAATACCATTTCTGTGGGCTGTCGCTGGTTCTGTGACTGCTCGCTTTGGATTTGGTCCAGAATACGAGATCACCCAGTCCCTCGTGTTTCTGACGCTTGCTACCCTGTTCAGTGCTATAACTGGACTCCCCTGGAGTTTGTACAACACTTTCGTCATTGAGGAGAAGCACGGCTTTAATCAGCAGGTACACTGGCTGGAATGCACTCACTGTTTGTTGCCGAGACTAACTTGAGTTTGATTGGATTGAAGTTACCACAGTTGATGGGCTCCAGAGCTCATATTGAAGCTGTGTCTTTGTTGTTTAATGTCAAAAACACAAACGATTTAAAATGTAATAAGAACTTTGATGGACTGAAGTTTTTGACTGTGAAATTTTGTCATTTGAAACCCAAAATGAATTCAAAGACCGGAGAATCTGTGAAGAAGTAAAAAGAAATCAGAACTCTAACACACTGTATTAATCTCCTGTTTACTCTGTTCTCTTTTAATGTCTGCTCTTCCTCTCAGACGTTGGGGTTTTTCCTCAAAGATGCCGTGAAGAAGTTTGCTGTCACTCAGTGCATCCTGCTTCCTGTGACCTCCCTACTGCTGTACATCATAAAGATCGGCGGAGACTACTTCTTCATTTATGCTTGGCTCTTTACCCTGGTCGTTTCTCTGGTTAGTGGCGCATTCGCCTCGCTCTGTGAAAACGTTAAAAATGCATCACTGTGTAATAAGAAAACGGGTTTCTTGTCAGATAACTAGTGAGAAACTCAAAAGAAGTACATAGTTGATACTACACCTGTAATACATCCTGTCATCTCTGTCTTCTAAGGTACTTGTAACCATCTATGCTGATTACATTGCTCCCCTGTTTGACAAATTCACACCATTGCCAGATGGAGAGTTAAAGACAGATATCGAAGCCATGGCCAAGAGCATAAGCTTCCCCCTCACCAAAATTTACGTAGTTGAAGGTATGTCTTGAATGTGTCTTTTTAGTTATCATTCCCACTGTCACAGAGTGCTTGCTCATTGTGGGTCGTTTGTTGGGGATTTCTCTCTGTTGTTCTAGAGTCTTTTCCTTACATTATCAAGCCCCTTATTATTACATTGCAATCATTAGTATGTTTTTTTTATTTTTTGTTTTGTTTTGTTTTTTACATTGTGGAGCGATGGTTGGTTCGAGATCCATGAATTTTTGTCTTGTTTCCAGGTTCTAAACGTTCTTCACACAGCAATGCATACTTCTACGGGTTCTTCAAGAACAAACGCATTGTGCTGTTTGACACACTGCTGGAGGATTACTCACCTCTCAACAAGGCTGGAGAGTCACAGCCTGAGCAGCCAGAGAGTGATGAGACATCCAGCGAGTCTAAAGCCAAGCCCAAGGTTGCGAAGAATTTCACTTGATTCATAAAAACACTTTTAAAGACAGAGTATTCTTACTTGTCTTGAAACACACTTTGGTTGATTTTTGCTTGATAACAACTGGTCTGAGAGCTTGAAAGATATATCTTTTTTTTTGTCATTAAGCTCTGTTTTGCTTTTAAAATCCTTTAATAAAGGATTGGGAAAAGCCCAAAGTATTAAATGTATTAATGTTTAGGCTTGATGTTGTTGGAAATTTTAGGTGACTGATTTTGAATCTTCTGTCACAGAACAAAAAACAAGGATGCAACAACCCAGAGATCCTTGCTGTTTTGGGTCATGAGCTTGGCCATTGGAAGCTTGGTCATACCGTCAAGAATATCGTCATTAGTCAGGTGATTTCTCCCAGATGGATGTCTTTTGTTTTATCCCAAAACATATAAAAGCCTGATTAGATCATACTACAGACATTCAGAGATTGAACTGAATCTATTTTTATCTCTTCAGATGAATTCCTTCCTGTGCTTCTCCTTATTTGCTGTTCTGATTGGACGTAAGGAGCTGTTTGTAGCTTTTGGCTTCGATGACAGCCAGCCCACATTAATAGGCTTGATGATTATCTTCCAGTTCATCTTTTCTCCTTACAACGAGGTATGTGTGAGATCATGAAAGTTTGAATAATTAAATCCTGTTGTTTTGAGATTTTTAAATATTTCTCTTCTTCCTCGCTTTTGTAGGTTCTGTCTTTCTGTCTGACGGTCCTGAGTCGCAGGTTTGAGTTCCAGGCAGATGCTTTTGCTCGCGGCATGGGCAAAGCCTCAGAGCTTTACTCGGCTCTCATCAAGCTGAACAAAGACAACCTGGGCTTCCCTGTGGCTGATTGGTTGTTTTCCATGTGGCACTATTCCCACCCTCCTCTCCTTGAGCGCCTCAGAGCACTGGGCAACACCAAGCAAGACTGACGGGGCAGGAAGGGGGAGCGGCGACCGCTGCCTCCTCCGAAGGGCCTCCGCAGACCGCTCCTGGCCCTGTGATGCACCCTGGTCTTTTTCCTTCCCTTCTGCCCCCCATTAGCAAATTTTATCTTATTTTATCCTTTTCTTCACTTGCCATACTTTGTTTGTTTTTTTTCTTTGAAAGTTAGTTTTAAACAAAACCAAAACATATCAGCACAAGGCAACCATAAAAAAAATCTAAGCCTGTACTGTTCTTTTTCTTTTATTCAGAAAAACCATTTACACACTTGCTGTGTGTGATAGATCTGGACAACGTGTAAAGAAAAAAGCAATTGTCAGAGCACATATCAGATTTCTCAGATTGCACTCATAGATTTGTTTTTAGAAATCCTTTTATTTTTGTACAATTTATTCAGTACATCATTCTTTTTCCCTTCTAAGTATGAAGCTCAAATGAAATTGACAAGTTATTTGGCTGTTAAATGTTAAGTTGTTTTTTTTTATTTTTTATATTAATTTAAGATGATTAGTCATACAGTATATTTAGTCATTACAATGCTTTTTACAGATGCACGGGCCAGATTGATTTGTACAGCAAGTGCAACATTTATTGTCAAGTTCAAGTGAATATTCATGAGTCTACTCATCAATTCAGTGCTTTTTTTTTTTTTTTTTTTTAATTTAAAGAGAAACTCTGTAGATTCTTTGTCACAGTGACAAAATACGAGTGCCTCTAATTCTCCTCTTTGTACCCATAATGAACACCTAGTGAACAGAGCGGTGCGAAATGTTTCGTTTGAACATTACATTAGACGTGTTATTTTTGTTTTGTTTTTTACATGCAATGAGGGGCTGCTGTTTTAATTTTCTTAAGCACCTGCTTGTCATGTAGGGTCCAACCATACCTGTACATATGTAACTTTGGTGATTAGAGTAATGATATATGGAGTGAATTGTTGAAAAAAAAATGTTGAATGTGATTTGAATTTTTAAGTTCGTGTAGAGTTTCATAGTTTTTGTTTGGTTTTTCCTCTTTGTTTCATGCCAGCGATACCTGGTAAGCAAAGTATTTATAGGGGACTTATGGGAGGGAGATGGCAAGATTTCACCACGTGAGCCAGAGTTTGGTTTGCTCAGAGAGGGGGTTTATGCTTTCTTTGCAGTGTTGAATAAAATCTTCTAAGCATTTATCTTATTTGGGGTGCTTGTTTTACTTAGAAAAAATGTTGCGAAAATCACACAAAAGATAAGATTTACATCCAGTGATGACTTTGGAATATATTTTTAATTTTATATATATATATATATATATATATATTTTATGCCTTCAAAACTGCCTTAATTCATATAGATATATTCTCTGTATGAATTGAGGCATTTTACACCATATCTGTAATGCATAGATTCAACAAAATGCTGGAAACATTCCTGAGATTTTGATAATTATATAATGGCATCACACAGTTCCTGGACATCCATGAAGCAAATCGCTTGTTCCACCACATCCTAAATATGCTTTATTGGATTGAGACCTGGAGACTGGAGGTCATGTGAGTACAGAGATGTTCTGATCTTTGGCTAGAAGGATGCCAAGAAAATATCCCCTGCACCACCAACACCAGAACCATTAATGCAAGGCAAGACGGATCCATGCTTTCATGCTGTTTTACAAATTCTGACCCTAACATATGAATATGACAGCAAAAGGTAAGTCTTATCAGATCTGGGGAAATGTTTTTCCATTTTTTTTCTTTTTTTCCCCCCAATTTTGGTGAGCTTCTGGGATTTGTAGCTTCAGTTTCCTTAGCTAACAGGAGTGGCACCTCATGTGGTTTTCTGCTGCTGTAGCCCATCTGGTTCACGGTTTGGCATGTACATTCATGTATTAGAATTACTGTTGCCTTCCTACAATCTCTGTAAACTCTAGAGATGGTTGTGTGGGAAATTCCCAATGGATCAGCAGATTTTGAAGTACTTATAAAAACCATGCTATGGTCAAAGTTAATTAAATACCCTTTCTTCCCCATCCTGATGCTCAGCTTAAAAATAAATTGATGTTTTATAAACTTATTTCTTTAGATAAAAAATTACTGTGTACTAAAATATCAATTTAAAAAAATTCCAATTCACAAGTTATTTAATTAAGCTATGTAAAAAAAGTAGAAATAACCATTGTTATTGTTGATTTTGTTTTTTTGTTTAAAAAACATTTTAAACCCCTTTTTGTTCACTAACTGTGAATGTATATAGTATTTAAATTAATTAAAAAATGAATTAAAAAATCACACATCGTGTTGCGTTATTGGTATGTAGCATAACAAAAATTATAAGGTCAGCTGCTACGTAAAGAGCGGCAATGCGGTGTCCATTTTTAAGACCATACCACTGCGGGAATTAAACACTGTGTTTTTTCTGCACTATGTTATTATTCCATGTTATGTATATGAAATATATTTAGCAGATAAATTGAAATAATACATCATCGTATGAATAGATTTTTTAAATGTATCATTTAATTGAACTAACGTATCTTCTGTTGGCACCCCCGCCTTGGACATAATGGCGCCGTCCTGTGGTGTATTTTTGTGGACAAGGACAAGCTCGACACTACTTGTCAGTGGTGTTTTCATAATCATGGCGAGGTTTTTGAGGCCTAATATCAGGACTTTTGTCACCTCACAGCTGAGAATGTCATCCGACCAGGTAATAAACGTCCTGCAACCGCCTCACTTCATTGCAAATACCGTGTAACCGTTATACAGCGGTGTGACATGTTTAGCCTCATCATTTTTGCTAGCTGAAAACCTTAATGACAGGTTCACCTGCTGTAGCACTGTGGTATTAGCTTTCTAATTGAACATTATTACCTAATAATTATAGGTTATATATGCCAAGGGGGTTAATTTTGTATGCACTGCCACCTGTCAGACTATTCAGAAAAAGAATTTGGTTTTGTGAGCTGCTTTGTCCTCTCAGACGTTTAGGTTTTGCTCAAAAAGCGTTTCTGGTCTGTTCGAGATATCTCCATTATCACCTTGGAAACAAAGAAGCCTTTTAACCCACTCAAAAAAATATAAAACCTTGACCTTCAACGTGGGCTTGTTTTCACAGTGTCCAGCAGATTCACCTTAATATCACACAGAAAGCCCTGATCACTAAAGTTGAGAAAGAAAGTAACTTTATGAAATGTTTAATTTTAAGCTGCCATCTGTTAAAGAAATGTCTTTATAGAAAATACTCAGAGCTCTATTTTTTATTTATGCATTTATTATTGGGTTTTGGGGTTTGTTTATTTTTTGCTTGTTGCTGAGTTAATTCACTAAACTTGTTTTTCTCTTAAATACTTCCCCACCCACTCAGCTGGGTGAGCTGGGTAAAGGTGCCGGGAAAGGTGGTGGTGGTGGAGGCTCTATTAGAGAGGCAGGTGGATCCATGGGGAAGAAGCAGGCTGCAGAGGAGGAGATGTACTTCAAGTATGAAATTCAACTTAAAGAGACAGTTTTTTGTCCACTTTTTCCACCTCTTCTACATGAAAATAAGCTTGCGTGATATCTGTCTTTCTTCATATAAGGCGCAAGGAGAAGGAGCAGCTGGCAGCACTAAAGCAGCACCATGAGGACGAAATTGATCACCACAAAAAGGAGATTGAACGTCTCCAGCGCGAGATTGACCGCCACAAGGGAAAGATCAGAAAGCTGAAGCATGACGACTGAGTGAAGCCTTTAAAATAAAACAAAAGTTTTGTTTTTTTTCTCCTCACTGTCCAAGACTCATTTAGTAACCACGCTAGTTTCTGCGTGCACTGTGTTATGCCAGTCATGAATGCTTGAGTGATGGTACTTATGTAAATTCTTGAAAGGTATTAAAATTGATTAAAAGAAATGAGTACGGGTTCCATGGCATGCTCTCCAAGAACATTTTCCTGTGTGATGTTGTTCATTGGTGTGCCGTATGTCACAGGTACAATGCCAAAGTGAAAAAGACTAAATATAATCTGTGCTTCATGCTACTGTTTTATTTCAGTGAACAGTTTGTGAACTTGTGAGAAACATTGTTTTCAATGAGCAACAATAGGCAGCAAATCAAGTGATAAAATTGACTAAGCTGCAACCAGCACACCTTTAATGTGAGATATAAAAATGGTAAAAAAAAAAAAGATAATTAAAGTTATCTGGCACCACAAATATGTGACCTGGTCAATATGTGTTTCAAACTGCTCCTTAAAGCCATCTTGATCTGAAGTAGGGTAATATAAATTTAATACTATTAAGATCTTTAAAAGTATTTAACACCTTTATGATTTCTTTTTTGTTTGTTTGCTTTTTGCCTACCTAGCCTACCTAGGATATTCAAATTGATATCATAGGTACATCTACTGAGTTTTCAAGCTTGAAAGGACTTTAACTAGGCCACTTTACCACTTATTTTTTTCTCCCTTCCCCTTTAGAAGTGGACACTGGTGCATTTTGGATCATTGTCCTGTTGCCTAACCTAAGTGTGCTTGAGCTTCAGGGCACAAACTGATGATGGAACATTCTCATTCAGCATTTTCTGGTAGAGAGCAGAATTACAACAAGTTGTCCAGGTCCTGGAGCAGCAAAGCAAAACTGCGATTGCTATATAATTAATATATAATTATATAATACATAATAGTATACATAATTTATAATACTGAACTTAATTCGCCCAACAGTGGCGCTATTTTTTCATAGCCTGTGAGCCACGAGAACGAAGGAAGCTGTCGTCACTTCCGCCCACCCCTGCCTTTTACCACGAGCAACCCCGTTTGTCTTTCTTTTCGCACATCATGGCGGACCGGTTCAATAAGGTGGGAAGCTGCTCTGGAGATATTATATCATTTTTCAGCTCTATAGGCAAAATAAAACCTTGTGTTTTGCAGTTAAGCGACTGGCGATAACTTGGGACAGCTTTGTGTAGTCGTTGTTTTGCTCAGTGTTTTTTCTGAGACCTATTTTTAGGGAATGTCTGAGGCAGCTCGCTATAGCCGAGTGAGCGTGCCTTCATCATGGCAGCTTCCCTGAGTCAACGCTGTTAGCTTGCGAGGCTAGGTTTAACGTGTGTACTGGATATATGGTCGTATGGGAAACGTACCGGCAAACTTAACTAAATTTAATGGGTGGTATTTCGTTGCTTCTGTGTAGGGAACCTTTCATGACATTTCAACTCAAAAAATACAAGGTTAATCGTCAGCGCGGTTTCGTTTAGATGCTAAGCAAACGTTATGTCTCAACCGGCAAGTCAATAGTGTCCCATGTGCCATTTATCACAGTGACGTGGAGGCAGAAATACAGTTCAGTTCACAGTAAACCCCTTTATTAAACAGTGATGGGGTTAAATGCGTTTTATTACCGTTTAACTTGTATGTTAGTGCAAGGCTGATAATGTGACGATTGTCAAGTAGATAGTAAATGCAAGTTGATTAACATTACTATACAAGATTATAGGGGAATTACTAGGATGTTTTTTCACGGTGAGGATAAAGCGTTGATATCCTTTTCCCCCACCTTTTATTTTAGGTTCTGCTGCTTGATGGCAGGGGCCATCTGCTCGGCCGACTTGCTGCCATTGTGGCTAAGCAGGTTCTTCTGGGTAAGTTTTCAGAGATTAATAGGAATTTTTGGTAATAAACAATATAAATGTTTGATAATAAACAACTTAAGTTAAGTATACACTGTGCGATTTTTGGACTGTCCTAGTCAAGAGGTTCAAATTTAGCTGTTGTATCACGCTACATGCATGGACTCCTTGGAGCAATATCCTGACAGTGTCAGAAATTTTGTAGCAGTATCTCATAATGAGACTGCTGCTGTACCTGCTGACCATTCAGTAGGAATGCAATGCAAACTAACCTGAAATAGCTTGTGGGGTGCTGTTGGAGGTAAACTGTGCAAAATAAGGTGGTTTGGATTGTAACACATAATCTAGTCTAGCTTTACACACCTGAACTGTGGACAGTGTCAGTAGTATTGTTTCTGGAAATACTCATGACATGATGTCCACTTGCTCTGGGAATTCTCTACAATTACTGGCTCTTGTTACATAGCATCAGTTAGGAATTATACGGTTATTCGAGCACTAGAAGGATGAGTATTTGATTTCCATTCCAAGAAATTTGATATTTGTGTCCTCATGTGTAGTCCAGCTGGGTAATGTCTTTAAAAAAAAACACTTGTATGTGAAAAATGACTGTGCAAAAGTCCTGCAGAGAGCATTGTATGCTCTTTCTACACATGGTCCAGATGCAATCACACAAAACATGCAGACACACAGATTGCTACAAAGACCGACCAATGCTACGATGAAACTTTACCTTTAACTTCCAGACTTGTGTCAGATCCATGTCGCACAGTGTGTTTTGCAGCATGTAAGACTGATGAACAACAATGTGTTCATAGTTGGCTGCTGTTGTGTCATTCTGTCGATGATGACTGTATTAACTGCCTTGGTTGAGTTTAACGACAATGAGAAAACTCACATGCACTACCATCTGAGACGGGAAACAAACAGTATCTGCACCTGTTTGCTACTCTCTTTAACTGTTGGGATTAACTGTTGGCATTTTGTCTTTTAGGCCACAAAGTGGTGGTGGTGAGATGTGAAGGCATCAACATCTCTGGCAACTTCTACCGTAACAAGCGTAAGTAGGGTTATGTCTTATTTTCAGTCCTTTAAAATGCTCGTTGTCGGTGATGTTTTACTAGTTTGAGTTTCACAGACCATGACAAAACTTTACATGCACTACCATCTGAGGCATCAGCATTACTTAATAAAGCAATGGGTGCCCCTTGCATGTATCTTGATTTATGTGTAATGTGGCTAATGTATATCTCTTCTGGATCATGTGCCTGTTTGCAGTGAAGTACCTGGCTTTCCTGCGCAAGAGGATGAACACCAACCCCTCTCGTGGTCCATACCACTTCAGGGCTCCCAGCAAGATCTTCTGGAGGACCGTTAGAGGTGAGGAAGTGACACCACTGGCACATGAAGGGGTCTATTTGCATTCATCCATGATACTTGCTTAGCACAGTAAAGCTGTTTATAGCAAAGCTAATTATCTATTGATGAAGCAGACTTCAGACATCTGACTTTTTTTAAGTTTAGCATATTTTGAAATGGATACTGAGGTTTTATTTTTTTATAGCACAATCTTTCTTTAAACAGGTATGCTGCCTCACAAAACCAAGAGAGGTCAGGCTGCTCTGGAGAGGCTGAAGGTGTTTGATGGTATCCCCCCACCCTATGACAAGGTATGCTGGTAATGTCTTTCCTTAATCTTTACGGCCCCCACAAGTGGCTTTGACTGTGCTGTCTGTGATGCCATACATCTTAACTGCCTTGTCTGAATAGTAACCATGAAAAGAAATGATGTCTGAGACACGCTGCCTATAGCAGTTCAGATGTGCTGTTGTCTTCGTTATCTGATTTTGCTTTATTTGATTTACAGAGGAAGCGCATGGTTGTCCCAGCTGCTCTTAAAGTTGTGCGTCTGAAGCCCTCTCGCAAGGTGAGCCTGCAAGGTTGTTTTTTGTTAAGGAAAGAAAATGAAGGGTGACAATAAGGTTACTCCATTTACGATTATTCGGCTGTAAATTTTGAGTTTGGCAGGCACAACCATTTAGTTTGTGTAACATTGTTCTCTTCAGTTTGTGAACTGTTGATTTCATATGGTTTTTCATTTCTCCCTCAGTTCGCCCTCCTTGGGCGTCTGGCACATGAGGTTGGCTGGAAGTACCAGGCTATCACAGCCACTCTGGAGGAGAAGAGAAAGGAGAAGTCTAAGCTCCGCTACACCAAGAAAAAGACACTGATCAATCTGACCAAGCAGGCAGAAAAGAACGTCGAGTCCAAGATTGCAAAATACACAGATGTTCTGAAACAATATGGAGTTATTGTCTGAGCTAAACTCATCTGGCCAATAAAGATGAATACATGTTTATAAAATGTGTCATGACTATTTTATTTCTCATTAAAGTAAACTGCATTTACTACAACATGAATATGTTTAAGACGAAGACACTGCTGTGAGTGCAGCTTCTCTTTAAAAATTGTGTGTAGGCAGTTGTATTAGTAGCTATCACAAGAAGGTAGCATTTGTGTATTCATGGTTATATTTACTTGGAATATGAAAAGTATCACTCAGACTTTTGAAAGGGTTTTAAAAAATAAATTTGTCAAGAAGCATCACAAATGTAGATATGTTCTCCAAAAAAAAGTTTATGGTGCAGAGCTACGTGTAATCTAAGCCAGGAAAAGCACATTGGAGTTGCTTATTTTTCTTACATGATTTTGCATAATGGGTAAAATCAAAACATAATAGGGTTAGTAAAGATAATGAATTTGATATTTGGAGTGAGTATTACATTTTATTTTCACAAAATTTGCCATCTGACCCACCAGTTTTTGAATTGTATAACAATTTGCTGCAGCTGTAGAGAAATAAAATTTAAAACTGAGAAAAAAAACAATTTATATATGTGGGAACTTCTCATTGGAACCAAGCTTAACTACCAGCAGAGGGCAGTGTTGTACTGCGACACTTCCAAGCGTTACAGTTAACTAAAACATTTAGCGTTTTAGTTAAAGTAGTGTTTATATAAATGTAATATTGTTAAAGTATTAAAGTATTATTCTCTAGAAACCGCTGGATCATTTTATTTAGGGCATAATCATACTGAGACTGGTTTTAATTATTGTTATTTTTTTAAAGTAGGCTACAGGTTATTGTGTGCAGCTTAAAATTACACTGAAGATTTGAACTGAAACAACTGAATCTCCTTGAATAGCTGGCTTCTGCTGTCTGCTCTACTTAAGACAGGACCAGCTCTGAGGTTAAAAATAACCAGGTGAGTGTTTTAAAGCAT